AATTGTCGTAACGGGATTAAGATAAAACAACCTATTTTTCACTTCTCCATGCATATATAACACATCAAATATAAGCTAATTTTTTCAGTTATTATTTTTCTAATGCTCCACCTGAGAGAGCAGAAATGATGCAGTGTAACTGTCATCTGACAATGGCCGAGGTCCACCTCTCATATTGTACTCCGTTCCTGACACCCTTCACCTATTAACCCTGCTCTTGCCTCGCTCACTTTCCACCTCCGACTTTTAAAGACATGTGTCTCAGGAATAGCCAAAGCATTGATTTGGTTTTTTTTTTCACCTTACCCACGACCCCCTCCTTCAAGTAAATGTGCCATTGCTCAGGGGCTGCTTACACGTTGCCCACATGCTGACTGTTGGAGGTCAGCCATGCTTGAAGGCCCCCGGGATCAATGGACATGCTACTTTACCTCGTAAATAATCAGCCATGAGCTTGCTGTCGCACTGCAAACATGCATGTGGCTGTTTACATGGACACACGTGCGCATGGCAGGGTCCAATAGTCACGCCTCGCTTGTCGCCGCCACATTTGGCTGCTACTCTATTCTTGCGTGTGGATGCAGGAATCCACTCCTGGATAGGTGATTTCAATTTAATTCACACCCAACAGGTCTGTTTACACTGTTTTCCCCCTTGTCACATGAGCTGCCAGCAATATCGCAGCCAACTGACTTCTTTGAAACAGTTTGCCGCTGCTGTTAACGACAGTAATTGACAATAATCGACAAGCGTTTTTGGGGAATCCTGGCACTCGTGTAAAGTGATGGGTACGGAGGCTCAGTACTTAACTGGCTGCAGGGCTGAATTTTTCAAAATTTCAGAATTGATACGCTGCGCTCACAATGGCTCTGTTAACTGTCTTGGAGAAATGACTCAAATCAACTTTTGATTGATTTAGGCTATATGAATGTTACTTTGCACCTTCTACCTCTTGAATATTGTGTCAAAGAAAAGATAAAATTGTGTTTGCCTAAGATGCATTTTCAGAATGGGTGGCGATTCATTTTGCCCCACTGTTTGGCCGTACGCAATAGGCACTTGTTAACGCCTTACTGTGCCAATGTCGTGCTGTGTGATCATATTACATGATACGTAGTTTTATTTAAAAATGGCTGACGTCCCGGATCATCCTGTAGTTTTTATAACATTATTTTGACGTATGGGATCGCTATTCGTGTCACGGTGGAGGCGACTCTGCCGTCCCAGCACCACCTACTCGGGCTTCAAAGTTGCTCTGTCCCCACCTTGGGAGCAGAGGACGCAAAGTCGGCGCCTTTCAAGGCTTCGACGAGTGAGGTTTTAACCACGTTCACGCAAGCTGACGTTATTTACATTGAGTTACAGTGGGGCTCAGCGTTACATTCCAGGCATGACTAATCGATTTACTCTCAATATAACTGTAACATTGTTAAAGTTTGCTTATTTTTGGTTTGAGACATGAAGCCTGCAAAGGGACGGAGGGATGCTTAATGCATTGTTGTCACAAGTACAGTCGAACATTAAAATGTCAGGCGGAAACACAAGCAAGCAGTGTGAGTTTTGTTTCTAAACCAAAAATCTATCGATAAGAATACCATTGAGGCACCGGATCAATGAGCAATATGGTTAATAGCAATAGTATTGATGAATTCTTATCTATACCCATCCATACGTTATGTTGATGTCCTTTTCTGCCTGTTGTGTTGTCTTTCACGGCACCACACAGACTCTAAACATTACGTTGTTTGATCCAAAACAGTCATTTCTGACCTTTTAAAATTAATAAAATAAAATAATCTCATCTTTTTTATTCAGTATCGATCACCTGAAAATGATGTTCCTGATTTCCAGTCACGTGGTCGGTTTAGGACAACTGTAGTTTCTTGGCTGGAAAAGCAAGAAGTTTCACTCCATCTGTGAGAGACATAACATTGTTTTCAAGTGTTTGTCAGGCTCATTGGCAATGCATCTACAGTAAAACCTAATCTTAGTCAACCTGTGACAGTACACAAACTTGTGATTTTAAACAGTAAATTCCACATTTTATAATTGGATTACTTGCAATTTATTCTCTTATTCTACAGTACCCTTCAAGTGTTCCATATTTATGTGTGCATGATAAAGTATTGCACCTCCTTAATTATAGACGCCCTCTTTTTATTTATTCAGTCAAGAATTCTGAATGTGTGACACCATGAATTGTGGTGCAATCAATTCAGATTTGAGTGTGTGGCTTGTGAGGAGGGGAGGATGAATTAACAGTTCCAGGATCTGTCACGGTGACATTTGTGTCCCCGGGCGGAGCAGCAGGGGTCCTTTTCACCCCTGTAACCTTCAACTTCCAGCCCTAACCCCCTTCAGGCCCCCTCTCGTGCCCTCTACATGCCCAGCAAGAGAGTGAGAGAATTATGTGGGAAGAGCAAGGGATGGGGGGGCTAAAACAGAAAGGAAGGTTAGGAAATGGGAAACAATGAGAAGAACCAGAAATCAGGCAGAAATGTGGGATCTGCATGAATGTAAAAAAAGGAAATAATTACTTTTTCTGTCAAGTGACATTTACGTAGATGAGTCATATTCATAATTATATGGGACTGCTGTCAGTTGTTTACGGATTATAGTTTGTCGTGTATTTGTGGTCTAAACCAGAGGGCCCCAACCTTTTTTGCCCCATGGACCGGTTCCATGTCAGACAATATTTTCAGAGACCGGCCTTTAAGGCCTTTAAGGCCGGATATATACAATGTAATATGATATGACCTGCATGAAAAGTGTGATTTTCGAAACATAATAATAAACATGAATCATGACAGGAGGAACGTCCTATCTGGCCGCAATATTCTCTGGTCGCTATGATAACGTTTAAACGTGCCTTCAAAATAAGATACGCCGCAAATAAAAAGTGCGTGAAAAATACGACTCATCATCGCCGCTTATTATGCAGAGTCGGCTTGGTGCATGTGGATTTCCCGTTGAGATAAAGCCGTATTTGAAATAGGACTCCTGATATTGTCTGTTAAATGTAGCCTTCTATCTCTTGAAAGTCATAGGCTCCTCTTCTGTCTCCTGGCTGGGCCTTTTCCCCTTCCCCAAAAAGCTTTTCAAAGACATTTGTTTTTTATTCATTTTGCTAGCTCCTGGGTTTCATTTTAACAGTAACCTATCACGTGACCGACATGCGCGCATTCACCTGCATCAAGAGTGACATACTGTAGACTGATATTACAGAGACTGTGGTAATTTTTCAAAATAAAACATCTTTCAAATTCTGAAATGAATAAAACGGAAGGAATGTAAGTTATTTATTTTTTCTGTGCGGCCTGGCACCAAATGACCGGTCCGCTGCCCAGCGGTTGGGGACCGGTCTAAATCATTAATGGAGGCAATTATCACTTTAACCCTTATGGCAAAATTACATCATTTTTTTCAAAATACATCATAAATCAAAATTTTCAGTTATTCATTGGAATTCGCCAATCGCCGGCTGTATCGATCCCTCTTCCGCGCAATTGACGACATCCACGACATTTTCAATTATGTTTCAGCCCTTTGGTAGCAGTCCCTATACTCTCCTCTTATCCAGTAAATCAGAATCAAGTAGTCAGAACTGTGGCACCACTGCGTTCTCTTTTTCTTTTCTGCTGCTCTTTTCAAGATGGGTTGCATGAAATCATCCTATAGGATTATATAAGAAATAATGGATTCTGCTTCGTCTGTCATCCATTTTTTCCATCGTGTTGCCCCTCTCTCATGCTCTCTTTCATGCAGCCATGACGCCTCTCTATGGACCGGGCATTCTTTTATAACCTTGTTCATCAAGCTAATATTTCCTCCGACAATGTTTTCTCTCCTCTGTGGATTATGTAAAATATTAAAAACACTTAGACATCTCTTTTCAGGTTAAAAACTTTTAAACTGGTCAACAAACCTGGTATGAACAAAGTAGGAATATCTTTGCGGCTCACAGGTTGGAGTTTGCCATGTGTGAGTTTGTTCTTTCTGTTCAAACCTGGGCTGCTAGTGTGAAAGTCACATGGTGACCGAGTCGCTGTGGAAGCCATGTTGAGCATGTTGACACCCCTGTGCTTTAGTTTGGCACACCTTTGGGCTTCGGTTTCCATGCAGAATTGGCTACATGAGGACAGATGCAAGCTTATTGCATGCAGATGATATGAGGACCGCAGGCTGTTGAAAATGGCTTTACTTCATTTCAGACATTCATTTTTTTTCCTCATATGTGCCAATGCTGTTTTGCTGTATTATTACATTTTAAGTGTGGATGTCTTCAAAACACATTTTATGAATCAGATTAGTCCCGGCTAATTCATACTTGATTGTTGACTATTCGGTTAATGTATTTTGTATTAATGAAATATCAGAGTTTCTATAGCTCATTAAAAAGAATGTCAAATGACACACAAATAGCCAATTCTGTCTGATCAGTGGCCAGACATCCCCTCACTTTTGCAGCTAGTAGCTCACAATGACCGGAATTGACCAACATCTAATTAATCCACAAATGGTTATCTTTGAATTTTTCCTAAAAAAACACCCAAAAACAACACAGACAAAAACACTTGTGATGATTCAACAATCTTCCAGCTAATCAGAAGTGTGCCATCTTAGCATTAATTAATTTAAGTAAAGTAGGCTTGTGATGATAGTTTCTTTTTTTTAAACGTTATTCTATCTATCCTGAGAATCTATATTTGCATATTTGCAGCTTATACAGCCTCAACACATTCTGTCTTTCCCTATTTTCTGCCGCTGTGTGTGTGTGTGTGTGTGTCTGTGTGTGTCTGTGTGTGTGTGTGTGTGTGTGTGTGTGTGTGTGTGTGTGTGTGTGTGTGCGCGCACGTGGTGTGTGTGTGTGCGTGCGTCACAGACGCCGCAGCCACCCCTTGCCCCCACCCATCTCATTAATATGTATATATTCTGAGACAGCTAGCGAAGACGGTGTGTTTCTCACCCGCTGATTAATGCTGTCTGTCAATTACCTCTAGATCCAACCGTGCTGTGGAGCTTCCCCCAGGACTACATCGACCAGGTTGGAACACACTCCGCTTTTTCACTCTCTCTCTCTCTCTCTCTCTCTCTCGCTCTCTCTCTCTCTCTCTCTCTCTCTCTCTCTCTCTCTCTCTCTCACTCACACACTCTAACTCACACACACTCTCTTGCCCTCTTCCTCTCTCCCCCAATTTCTCTCTCTCTCTCTCTCTCTCTCTCTCTCTCTCTCTCTCTCTCTCCCCCCATCCCATCTCTTTCTCATCCTGCTTTCCCGTGGACCCCCCCTCCCCCCAGATCACTACTATCCTCTTCCTCCTCATCATCACTGCTTTTGCTTTCTCTCCTCATCTCACTCTCTCTTTCCTACTCTCTCTGTCTCATTGCATGTCTGTTGGTGGTAATGAAAAGCAGTGAGCGGCTCTTCAACAACCGAGGAATCACTAATTATCGTGCAACCGTGACAGGAATGCACACTTACGTTTTCAGCTTCTCGCGTTCGTTTTGCTATGCCTGCTACATTTTTCATGACTACAGCTTTATTAGGTTAATTCTAGGGCCTGACCGATTAATCGACTGGCCGATTATGGCTCTTAAAACATCATCCAAAATAATCGGTCAAATGGCCAATGTGTGCCAGTTGTATTTAATTTTATGTAATCTAACCTTTGGTAGCAGATATAACAAGTAACAGGGGACTCATTTTTTTTCAATTTTATTACACTTAATTGTACTATCACCTTATTTCCCTATTTCTAGAAGTAGTGCCGCACAACATGAAAAAAAAACAGATTCCGATAATTTCATGTTTTTTATGACCAATAAATAAATAATATATATACTGAT